GAAAAAATTGAGTTAACATCATAATCACGATATTGTAATTGTTGAATGAACCTGATGTGAAACAAATGGAAATTAAAACTTCATCGAAACTATTTTTCCAAGGCAACATGATTCAAAATCAAATGTTTTAACTCATTCATGGCACTCTAGATTGAAATTGAAAAATGACTATTTCAGGATGATAAATATCAAGAAGCAAATGGGGTATCATTACTGTCATTGTACTCACAATGTTATTCTTTATCGAAATAATTAAAATTTACCGGGTGTCCCACTTAAAATAAGAAAATATGGGTCATTTCCGGTCAAACCGGGAGTGCTGGAGAAGAAATGAATACGTCGAATAATGCATATATATGTACTATACTTATACAACAAATTTCAATTGTTTATCTGTATAAACAAAAAAGTTATAGCCACTTTTGAAAAACGCCCGGTATATGATCCAAATGGGCCAACTATATCGAATAATTAAACAGACAGCAGTGTCGCTGGTTCCCCTTTGGTTTCAATGAGCCAGCAGAATCATTGTGGTATCAACTTCTTGAAAAATGATTCATGAAGATATGCATAGTCTCTTGCTATCAAATCTTCACAAAAACTTCCAAATCTTGAAGAATTCTATATGATCGATCACAATAAATGAATGATGGCGAGATTAATCAGGAATTAAAAACGTGAACCATTCATATTTATGTGCATGTCAGATTATTATATTCTCTCAATACATAATCATAATATATTGTTAATAAGTAAGTGATATCTTCATGAGATATTTCTGTGGCATCATGATGCGATATATTCCACTGACATCACGGTGCGATATCACTCTGACATCACGGTGCGATATCACTCTGACATCGCGGTGCAATATTGGTACGCCATCCAAACGAGTGACAATAATGTACGTCCCCGTGACGTCTATGCGACAACCTGATTTGATTCAATGTCGCATATATATGCCCACTAAACATGTAATGTTACAAAATATTGCCACAATATATTATGAAGCCTTCTTCCGTAATATGAAAATACAATATTGTATCTATTTTGCTGCTATATTCGTGTTGACGATATAACAGAAAAACTTACTGACAAATTGTTTGTAAGTTACAAAATGACCCTTTCAATTAAGTTTCAATAGCAATATTGCATCAACTATATATTCTCATTGAAATTGCAACATTACATGGATCAACTACGAACAATATTGCACTGATATTGTTCGTAGTTGATCCATGTACATATGGAATTTTCAATTGTAATGTTGCATCAACATTGATACTTCATTGAATTTGTAAATAACATGAGGTAACTACAAACAATATTGCTACAACTTATGGAATGCAACAAATATTTGAACAAAAAATCTAATATAGCTGAAATATACAAAATCCTACATTGGGTATCGATCGAGAGACGCCATTTCATGAAATGCCTACGCGCAGTCGCAAACTTGCATTCGACAAACGCCACTATCTTAGTCGCCATATTTGTTCGTGTTTGGCTTCGGTAACAGGTATTTTGTTGTTGTACACGTCCAAATGGCAAATGATACCAATAAATAATATTATACTTTGGAACATAAATTGAGGTATAAGTGGTGATCTGGCGATATGTGATATGAGGCAGTTGGGAAGGTTTTGAATCGCAGTTAGCAGTTGATGGTTAGGTAAGTCAACATCAGTTATTCTAGGTTAGGTCACCGAACATCAACTAAAGAGTGGTTAGGTATACATTTTACGAATTCATACATCGTTCATTGATCTAAGCGGATCGTTCGATCGACAAAAAATAACATAGAATGATTATAATTATTCGTATACCTACTCAAAGTTAGAGGACAACCTCGTGAATTCCTTTGAGTATGCAGTCAAAGTGAATCAAAGTGTACCTACTTTCTTATTGTTTCTGTTTGATCTTTCGGGTCTTTATCGGCTCTTTATCAGGAACTCTATGAAACATTACAAATTACATGAAATCAATCATTTTTATTACTGAAACACTTAGGGACATTGAGGTTTTGTTTAACCTCATAGTGATAGTAGAATCATAGCTCGAATCATCAAATCTTATCTCTCATTTTACTGCACTTAGCTGTTGCAGAAAAAACTTTGAGCTCGCACTCACAATTCATTCTAAAACAACCTAAAATATCGTTTTTCAGAATATTCTCTAGATGCTGGGAAATATTCATATTATCTTCAGTGTATATTATGAGGATACTCTCGTATGTTCCAAAGTTTATTATTTATTGGTATCATTTGCCATTTGGACGTAAACAACACCAAAATACCTAATCTTTGGAAGAAGTCCATGGTAACTCAAAGTGGAGTGGTGTAGTTCATAGATGAAAACCCAAAGTCATCTCCACAACTTTTATTTAATGATCATAGATCATATAAGGAACATGTTTCGGGCTTATATAAGCCCATCATCAGCCAAGAAAATGTAAAGTTCTAAAAAAGGACAGATTGGCCTATGGTATGATACAGTAATATTTTACTTACATGGAAGTGAAAATTGTTGCAATATGTATACAATAAGCAATAACGGAGCAAGCAAAAGCCATTGCTCCATGATCTGGAAAAGGAACAGTGAAAATTTTTTGAAAAAATATCAATATGAGTGAAACTTACTGTTTATATGATAAAAATGTTATTTAAAAATTTTTTAATAAAGTTGAAGGTTGGGGGTCGGGAACATATTTAATAAGGGCCCACGGTACCCTTAAATCACCGATAAGTGGTAATTAAACTTGCAAATATCAATCTTTTGTAATAAGAAAGATGTGGCTTCGGAAATAACCAAGAAAAGAATCACATGTGCGGAAGCACTGAACAGTAAAATTGTTTGCTGTCAAATGTCAAGTCAACCAGATCATGGAACAACTAGTTACATAGATAGACAGAATAGGTGATGGGGGGCAACACCATAGCACAGCACTACGTCAGATTGGCAATAAAACTGAAAACAAGATTGGTACAATCAGACATCTTACAATCCAAAAATCTAGAAAAAAGTGTACATGGCAAATGACAATTATTTAGCAAAATTCAATGAATTGAAAAATTTGTTGCAATCATATTGAGTTTGTTCATTCAAAGAAGTTACATTATTATTATTCAATGACAAATTTATGAGATAAATTTATGAGATAAATTTGTCATCAAATAATAATAATGTAACTTCTTTGAATGAACAAACTCAATATGATTGCCACATCTTTCTTATTACACAAGATTGATATTTGCAAGTTTAATTACCACTTATCGGTGATTTAAGGGTACCGTGGGCCCTTATTAAATATGTTCCCGACCCCCAACCTTCAACTTTATTAAAAATTTTTTAAATAACATTTTTATCATATAAACAGTAAGTTTCACTCATATTGATATTTTTTCAAAATATTTTCACTGTTCCTTTTCCAGATCATGGAGCAATGGCTTTTGCTTGCTCCGTTATTGCTTATTGTATACATATTGCAACAATTTTCACTTCCATGTAAGTAAAATATTACTGTATCATACCATAGGCCAATCTGTCCTTTTTTAGAACTTTACATTTTCTTGGCTGATGATGGGCTTATATAAGCCCGAAACATGTTCCTTATATGATCTATGATCATTAAATAAAAGTTGGGGAGATGACTTTGGGTTTTCATCTATGAACAAAATACCTGTTAGCGAAGCCAAACACCAACAAATATGGCGACTAAGATACTGGCGTTTGTCGAATGCAAGTTTGCGACTGCGCGTAGGCATTTCATGAAATGGCGTCTCTCGATCGATACCCAGTGTAGCATTTTGTATATTTCAGCTATATTACATTTTCCAATCAAATAAGCGTGTTGCATCCCATAATTTGTAGCAATATTGTTTGTAGTTAGCTTATGTTATTTACAAACCTAATGAAGTATCAATGTTGATGCAACATTACAAATTAAAATTCCATATGTAACGTTGCACTGATATTGATCGTAGTTGATCCATGTAATGTTGCAATTTCAATGAGAATATATAGTTGATGCAATATTGCTATTGAAACTTAATTGAAAGGGCCATTTTGTAACTTACAAACAATTTGTCATTAAGTTTTTATGTTATATTGTCAACACGAATATAGCAGCAAAATAGATACAATATTGTATTTTCATATTACGGATGAAAGCTTCACAATATATTGTGGCAATATTTTGTAACATTACATGTTTAGTGGGATTACACATAACATTGAAATATTGCTGCAATATTGTTGAGATATTACTTTGCTTAGTGGGTGGCGATGTAACAAAGATGTTCATGTGACATCGCATTGTTAGGGTAGGTTATTTGAACTCAGAATTAGAAGGCTAATCGAACCGTGTTAAAAAAAAATGGTTCCTATTTTAAAGTATGAAGTTGGTGCCAACTTTTGGCTGGAGGACTAAAAATATTTAAGGTAAATTGGAAATGATCGATTATATCAGTATACCGATTGTCATTATTGCCAAGTTTCTAATTCAACTGCAAGTTGAAAAACTTCCAATGTGTGGCCTACGTCAATCACCCATTATGTTAATAATTGAAAATCATTGCAGTATATCGAACATTCACAAATGAAATAATCGTCCTGGGAAGCCGTTTGGCCGGTGTTGAAATTCAACATATCTGGTTGAGTATAAATAATGGTGGGTTCACTGTAGCTAGAGTAGTGTAGTGGAAAAAGCCATTGAGAAATGTAGGATAGATGATGCCAATTGTTTCTATCATTGAAACTCAACATGGATAATGATGCATTCTGAAGCTAGGTGTGAAACAAACCATCAATATATCACATTCTCTTGAGGTTGTGACTTCTCTATGGCCACCATGTTTCACTTCTCTCATTATATTTATCAACTGACACTAGGGCTGACTCAAAATCGATGATAAAGCCTTGGATGTTATATTGGAATTATTGATAATAATCAATTTGCTAAAAGATATGCTATGCATTCTATGAAGGTGCATGTTACATACCATTTGAGGAATCTTCGGAAAATGCAATTTCTTGTTCTAATTCAGCACATACAGAATTCCACGCTGAAAAACAAAGAATTGAAATTTAGTTACATATAACCCTATATTGATAAACTACACTGAGAAAAACTGGTTAATTAAAACGTCCAGTTGGTATTTTTTTAGTACCGGTAATTAAAAATATTTGGAATTTTATTAACAATGACAACGTATCCTTATTTCCTACAAATGACTTTTCTATTTTTCGCTAATTATTTGCCATCAATAAAAATACTATTTGTGACAGAATTATCACAGTGTTGTCTATTCAGTCAATTAAATTTTTTTATTGGGGTTAAAAAACCTCATTCTGGGGTTACTAACAACAGCTGACTATTTGCCACAACTGATGACACATTTATCGTAAAAGGTTTATTATTATTCATAGCAGAAATTGTTTAGCCATAACTAATAATTTTAGTTGTACTGCGTCGTTCGGGACCGCCTCGCGTCTCTTCGGGACCCACTGGCAAAAATTGCATCTTGCATCTGTTTGTCTTTCTGTTTCATCATTTGAACTTGTATCTTGATAGTGGATAGATCGCACGGTCGTCGAGCTTAGACAAAATGAATAAAATAATTGTCTAGTGTAGCCGGGAGCGTCGTTTTCTGGCTGGTTCACTGATCTGTGTGTTTTCAAATCACTGTTTTGCGTTTTTTTGCACTTCGCGCTGAGCCATTTGGCATTTGGTTGGCAAAATAATAATTCGCAGTTTACCATCGTTATCTGTGCGTCACTAGTTATCAGGTTTAGGTACCTATTCACAATTCAGTTCAGTTTACGACGGGCGACGGTGAGAAATGTCAAACCGACGTCACGTGTACACGGTGTGTATTTATAATTCCCTCTCTTTTTGCTGAGCTGTGGCCTGTGGCACTTACGGTGTGTGTTGTATTCCTGTTCACGATTCCATTGGAAATTGGAAGGAAAATGGCATACAAACTGTTATTATTAGAATGGGGCTTTGATTTTAATTGATATAAAACTATCAAGTTTAAGAATAACTAAATTATATTTCAAACGTTACTAAATCACTTTTAATAGTAACTAGATTCCATTTTAGTCACAATTAAATATTTAATTTGCAACAACACGCTCACTATTAACGTCAGAAGAAATGAGTAATTGCCCCAACTGGGATAATTTGTTGTGATAACAAACATATATTGAAACAGTACTAACAATCTAATTGTCATAACTATGTATCTTGATTGTGGCAAATAAAACTTGGTATTATTCCTTAAAAAGGCTTATTAGTTACCACAACAACGTCGTAGATGACTCAACTAAACTTTTCATTAGAGGCAAATAGGCGTTTCCAGAAAAACAGAATTAGTTATGGCAACAACTAATGCTTGCTGTCCCCTATCGTACTAAAAAATTTTTCTGTAGTTACAAATTTTTTAGTAACGGCTACAAATTTTTTCCCTCAGTGTATAGACAAGTGGCTTCGTAACTTCAAATTCAATTAAATGAATTGAATTTGCTTTTCATCTATGCATATCATACCTACACCTGTGCTTACATCTAACTAGTCTAGTTTAGGACTTATGACGAAACTTATGAGCATTTATTTGTGAAAATGTCACTAGAAAATGGTATCTCCCCATTAGATATTTGGTAAGCAGGCCATGTTTACTATTTGACAGTAAGATTGTCTTCAATTCAGTAATGTGGACTGATGAAAATATTGTAGATAACTTCATCGCGGTAGTCGAAATATATCAAAATTATTACTAGGTTCCACGTAGACGGGACTCGGGACTGCATATGAAGTGAGCGTAGAACTGGAAATACTTTTTGACGATCGATGGGTAAGGCGCTTGGGATCGTCAAAATGGCTAGAAAGATCACCCGATCTCAATCCTTTGGATTTTCTTTTATGGGTAATGTTTGAAGATGCATTTCCGCTTGAAATAATCTCCAGCACGAAAACAGTCAACATCCGCATTTAAAGTGATTGAATGTGCATTTTTTGATCAATTTTGAATCATCATAATTTTCGACTGCTTGAATCGATTATCAATTCTTTATCAGTTACAGAATTTTCGTTTCATTGACTATCAAACCTATGGAAATGATTACTGCATCTCTTCAGAATGAGATTCTACAGGAGTTATCAATGCTGTGCAAGTTTTCAAGAATTTTGCAGGCTTCCCGTTTGGGAGGAATTCTTTTCTAATTCATTCTGAGGTGGAAACATATAGCACACCATCTGTTGTAGAAACGGTTCTGAGATTTTTGGAAATGTCAGCCTCATTACTGAAATATGATTGTTTTTATAAAGTTTTGCATTGTTGCACCAACAAATTTCGTTGGAATTTGTGGACTGTATTTAATCGAATGACAAATTAAAATGGAAACGCATATACGTCAGTTTTCACACCAATAGGAAGGATTAGGAACAATATCACACACACTAAGTGGAGATCAACTATTGAGATCCAAGAAACAAGGGTAAAGCGTCACTATATCTCTCTATTAACAAACCCGAGATGTTACCCATTCAAGCGGTGGTTGTCTTCTCAGCGGGTGCATATGGTCCATATTCCGGATATCCCACTCAGAAAGCATCATGTAGCGCAAAAAACATCAGGCCATGATTCTACGCGGCAAACTCAAATCAACAAATATAACTAAACGAAGGTGAAACATTCCGCCCATCAAAATATACAGACAGTATTTAAAATATACTAAATTATATTTTATATTCCGTACAATTATAATCAATACAAATCAACACAAACTTATGAACTATAACCAAGAAAAGGAATGTATCTGTTACCTATCTAACAATAGACCATTAAATATTCAATAAACTAGTGTACAGGTAATGGGCACAATTTTAGTAATGAGCGCTTCAACAAGCCAGTGGAGGTACGGACCTGAGCTACTCGAGCGATTCCATATCTTTACCAGAATATAAATCTGTTATCCTTGCCATTGTAATGGTGGCAAGATTTCGCCACTATACCAAAGTATAGTGGGCAATACATCAGATTTATTTCACTTCGAGCGTTGTTGACAAGCGTCTAGCTAGACCAGCGGATCTTCAAACATCGAGGTCAAATCAAGGTCTATTAACTTCTATAAGGTTACCTCATAGTATAGCATTATGGTGCGGGGGTGCGCGGAGGGGCGTGACGTCAGTGTTTCCCCACCACGTGATTGTTGATTTCGTTTGTGTCACTGTCAAATGAATTGGAAAAAAATTTGAATTTGAATTCGAAAGAATCGCGAATTTTAGACTTTAGTTGAAAACAGGGTGACAAGAAGACTGAAGATATCTTTGAAAGAGTGTGAGAGAGGTTGTATAATAATATGGTGTAGTATTATTCAAGGCTGGTCACATCATAAATATCATAATATTATTGTGTGGAGTCAAGAGTGGATATAGAACAAACAAATGTTATGAAATGCCTGTTTGGCAACCTCCACATGAGATTCAGATAATTCCAAAGGAAAATGATGAGCTGTGGCAATGTGAATGTCCCTGTGAAGCAGGCATGTCATAGTTTTGTATACACATTTTATAGGGACTAATATTGACAGGTAGGAAGGTGCACTTTTGATCTATCACACACACAGGTAAAAAATACATGAAATTTCAGGAATGAAGACTTGGAATATGTGAAGCTGCATATATAACAAACAGAAGTGGTGAAAATTGAAAAAAGAGAGTAGATCAATCAATGATCTATTATACAGCCAAACCATTTCAATAGAAGGAAAGTGACCCCCTAAAATCATTCTTCCTTTATATAATTGAAGTTAATTTTACAGGGTATATCAGTCTATTTTGTTTTTTGTTTGGAAGCCAATGAACTCAATGTGAACAACTGGCTATTGCATGGTACTCAGGAACACTGGTGAGTTTATTAAATTTTACTTATACTTGCTACTTCATTTTTACATGTAGCAAGGAGTCTTGGGAAAAAAGGCAATCAACTTCTTCTTTCCAAAGGATTTTTCAAATAAATTTGTTCAGCATGGAGTGGAATATGAATCCAAAGCTCTTTCAAAATGTTCATTGAAAATGATATTGAATTTCAAATCATGCAAACTAATTTGTGTCCCAATATTTTCCATGGTTAGGATTTTCTCAATATGAAATTATTTTTCAGGAAGGAAGACCATGGAAATAATTGAAATAAGTGTCCTTACTGAGGTCCTTACATAGAGGTTTGTTAAATAATGTGTATTACATTCAGCTTGAATTATTTTCTCAAAATTTTAGGTAAAGGTTCAGAACATTTTGTGGAACAATGCCATTTCTTGATAGGAGATGGTATAAAAAATGTGAAGTTGGAAGAGAGACACACTTATTATGGATAAATTCATTTGGGAATAATGGCCCTAAAATGTCCCTAATGAACTTGAAAGAAACTAATTTTCTTGTATGATTCTTCTTCCTCCAAAACTTACATAAAGATTCCAGTTTTTTTGTGATACATTTTGTGTTAATGTTATGAGGAAGATATTTCAAAGATATTTCCATTATTTTGCACTTTCATTGCATTAATAAAATGGAATGAATTGTGATGACTTCTTTATTAATTCATTTTCTTATTATTGCATTTTCAAACAATAATATGTTCCAAATTGATACTGAAATAAAACCAGTGAGTTAGAATCATTCAATTTATCCAGAAGGAAATCCTCTTTAGTTAATTGTTTCTTGTTTCTCAGAAATGATGGCCTAATCAATTTCAAGATATTTCTTCACACCCCTTGTCAGCATGCCCTTATCCACCATGATTTCATCATTAGGTTCAGACTTCCCAATAACATTTTCTTTATTAAAAAATGCTTTATCAGTAGTTCAACCTCCATATCCTTATTAATGCCAACAGTAATCAGTCCTAATGGAGTGGTATTGCAATAAGAATTTGACTGAGTTTCTGTAATGTGTCTGTACAACAGGAGCACTGAGGAACATATATTTCTATATTTCTGTCTTCAGTCTTTTGTACTTGCTGCATGTTTTGGGAAAACAGTGAACAATCTCTTGGACACAAAAACA